AATTAATTAATCAATTTTGTGATTTGCAATTGTTGAAATATTTTCAACAATGATAGCTTTTCATTAATTAGATTATTAGTCGATAAAATAATCCAGCGAAAGTTAAATTGGGAATTTTTATTTTTTTTTTAGAAAAAAAAAATGTCGTTTAATTAATTTCAGGCTTACATACTCCTGGTGTATTTACTGCATTGTTACAAATTGGTCCAGCATATACAGGTTCGATCACTGGCATTGCTTTTTCTGCTGGTCATATTGCTAAGTTAGTCGTTTGTACTTTTAATTTATCATCAAATATCTCAAATTGTCACAAAATATTTTGGATATTTAAATTGTTAAAGAAAAAAAAATGATAATATTAATCATATTGATATTAAAAAATGATAATGATGACATTAATCAACATTATTTTTGATAATATTAATGATATTATTAATTGTCATCAATCATACTAATATTAATCACCTGATATGAATCATATTACAAGAAGAATGTAATTTATCATAATATTCTTGATTACGATTATTGCCTGAATACAAATCCGGAATATTTCGTTCCATGTTATAATGCATTTATTATCATAATAAAATGTGATAAATGTAACATCACTTATCATTTATCATTTATCATTTATCATTTATCATTTACAATTTATCGATAAACAATTATAAAAAATTTAAGCATTGTGAATAAACTTACAAATGGATTAATTCTACATTCATGGTCCGGTTCTGCTGGTCAATGGAAACTTCTTTATACGATATCAGCAATTGTTGCTTTCTTACCGGTGATATTTTTCACGCTTTGGGGTTCCGCTGATTTACAACCATGGGCAATTCCGAAATTGAAGAAATCATCCGGATCAGGAAAAAAAGATGGTAACATTGATAGTAAGGATTCAGAAATGATATCTTCAGCAACATATCTTGCTGAAACACTTCCAACATCTGTTTAGGAATTAATTGTACCATTGTTAACCTTAATTTCACTTTTTTTTTTTTTTCGTTACTCAAAATTAATATTAAAATTAATTGGGGTGAGAAAAAAAATAGTTTACTTAAGTTATCACTTAGAAAAAAAAAAATAACTAAAACTTTTTTTAAGATCAAATCATTATTGTTAGGTATTTTAATTAGATTTAAATTTTTAAAAGTATCAGATTGATAAATTAAATCTCTCACTGTATATTTATCAGTTCTACCTCGTTTCTTTCGTTTTTTTTACCTTTAAAACCAAATTAATTAGTTTACTTTAATTGGCTTAGCCATACGATGACAGTGATTTTAAAGCTTTGACAATTTTTTGCTTATTTAAAATGTGAAATGCAATTTTACAAAGTTTTAAAAGTTGAAGTATTTTTGATAAAAATTTCAACCTTCAACAAATGTAATATTTTTAACTTTGGAAAATTTAAAAAAACGGACTAAAATAAAAATTTGTTCTTTTCGCCTTTTATACATTTCATTTAATTAATTAAATTTTAAAATTTATCTCTCTTGTACAAATGAATCGTTTTTTTTTCTTTTTTTTTTTTTTGTACGTCATTCGAGCAATATATATTACTTTTGCATAAATAGGAAATGATACGGTAGATGATTGTTATTTCTTATTTATTTTATTGTTTAACAATTATAAGTAATTAAGTAATTGTGTATATTTGTTCAAATACTGCTTTTCATCATTTTATTTATTTAGTTAAACAGTACTTTTTCCTCTTTTTTTCTTTTTTTTTTTGCTTACTTTTTAAGCAAATATCTTGAAAAAGCGGGTTTATTTGCATGTGAATGAATGATTGATTCGTCAATTGTATTTTTTTTTTTTTTTTTTTATTCGATGAATCCCAAAAATAAATTAATATTCCTGCTTTTGTAATTAATTTAATTTCAAATTAGCAATTTGTTACAATTATAATCGATCTGAAATGTCCCCATTTACAGTACTAATATTTCATTAATACAAATTTATAATTTGGTTTAAATTTCGAACTTTGAATTGCAAAAAAAAAAGAAAAAA